AAAATAACTTTCTTCTATTAATTCTATTGAAGAGTTTGATTTTGGGTTTAGCATCTAATGTCAGGATTTGAGTGGATAACAAAAGGAATAGCTATTCTTCTGCAGGAGTGCAAGTAACTATTTGTCCAAAGGTAACTGTGCAGTTTTTTCTGCTTTCTCTGTTCTTATGATTTGATATTATTATTTTCTCAAAAAATATACTGCAATTGTTACTTTTTTTTTTTAATATGCAACATATTAGGTTAGAAATTCAGCCATGGGAATAAACAGGAATTTCTGGCTTTTATGATGTTTATTTTGGTTTTCAGGAAAATAATCTCTGCCATAATAATGTTTTCTTCTGCTAAGTGTGTTGACCATTGGATGTGGAGGGTGCCTAGTACTTGAGAAGGTAAAAGTATCTAATAATAGAAGGAAGGGATGGAGGCTGACTGACGAAAAAAGGTGAAATAGTTGGCAGCTGTGATGGATAACCTAGTAACAAAGATGAAGAAGTCTTAGCAGGAGTGCACAGAGAGACAATAAAACATAGGGTAAAAGGGGAAATGACAAAAGGAAGAAAATGGATCTGTAGAAACAAAAAGGAATTGTTTAAATGAGTAAGTGAAAAAAATATCACTTTATTTGCCACAAATGAAAGGAGAGGAGAGAAAATCTATCTTAGGAAATGACCAAGATTATTTTAATATTATTTTTCCCTGGAAAAAACAGTGAAGAAAGGAATTATGGAACTTAAATTAACAACTGAACAAAATCCATCAATGAGAAATAAAATCAGTCTAATTCACAAATCACAGACTGTGTCTTATAGGCACAATGTTCTTTTGAGAGTCTTAATAAGACAGAAGATATACACCAATTATATTCAATTTAGCAATATACTGCATCTAACTTCTACATGACTCACAAAAACTGGTGTTCTACTGTTTTCATGGAAGCAAAAATTTAAAAAAACCAAACCAGTAAGTTGCTCGTTAACTATTAAAAGGTTACATTTCCAAGAAGTGTCTGGATTAAAGAATTATCCTTAAGAAATAATTTCCATACATGAGAATTTTTCACGTGTTTGCAAATAATATAGAGGATGGATTAACTGGGAATGCTTTCAAACTAACAAAGAATGAGAATCATACTCTTGAACATTATGGGAAAACAAAATTAACTACTTCAATTAAAAAAAACCAACAAAACAGTGATTTGTGCAATACAATGATATTTAGCAATACCCAACATAATATAAAAGAAGCGATAAAGTTGTGTTAGATGAGCATTTTGCCCCAGGCTACATTTCCTAGGGAGGAGGCTTTCATATACAGTACTAACTGAAAGCAGCCAAGGAAGTTCAGGCTCTGTCCTCCCACTGCTTCCTCACTGTTTTATGCATCACACACATTTGTATCACATCATTCTGCCTTGGCCATAGGATGGCTCCTCTCTGAATATGAGGATGAAGTCTACCACTGAGACACCTTTGCACACTTTACTATCAAGATCATTCACTTTCTCCTATAGATTTATTTAACATTAGTTTGTTCTCTCCTCCTTTCTGTTGCTTTTGGCAGCCCAAACTATACATCTTCAGAAGGATACTAAAAAAAATGTATAAAATCTATTAAGCAATTGGAAGAATTCCCTCATGTTAGTATCTGAAACCTTTACAAAACCTCAATTTTCTTTCTGCCAAGAGTAGCAGAATCAAATTATTTTCTCCATTTTCTAGAGGACTCCAAGGGGGAGACTTAACCAAGACCACATGAAGAATCTGTGGTGTAGGAAGGCATTGAAATCAAGAGCCATGAACCTTAGGTCACTGACTATGCTGGTGTATGCAATTTCACAGGCAGATAAAAAATTAGCAACACAAATAAATTTATGAGTAGATAAATGTGAGCTGACTTTTTATACAAATTTGCAAAATTTGCAAAAACTGAGTCCCTGAGTTGGTTTACAAAATGCTTGCTTAGTCCAGACAGATAGATGTTTACACTATGCAGTTACCATAGTACCTGGTGTGATGTAGTGCTATATCCTGCTGAAAAGACAGAATGTTTACTTAGGCTCAGTTATGTGGCAGCACCACTTTCAGGTAGCTCAAAATTTAAGTAGGATGTGCTTCTACTTACCTGCAAAAGCCTGCCTAAACATATAAAGCTGCCTTCTAGAGGCAGCTCCCAGGAGTTGTATGAAGCCTTTCCACAAGAGCTTTTTTCAGCTCCTGAAGAGATTGGCCATGTGGCCTGTAAACTCCAAAGTGAACAAAGATGCTGAAAAACTCACAGACAGCACTTACCAGGTCTAAACATAACTATTTCACTACTGCAGAAGCAAAATGATTATCATATTTATCAAGGAGAAAATGGATGACTCGGAGCCCAGAAACATTTGGATGTGCAGACTGAAGGCATGACTAAAACTTCATTCTGAGTATTGCACTTGAGCAAGTGTACTGTAACCCTAACAGTGAGTTTTGTAACAGCACAGTTGCCAAACACAAACTAAAAATTCAAGATATCTTCCACAGATTTTTAATGATATATCTTTTTAAAATCCAGTGCTGGGGAACATTTTGTCTTTTAGATAAATGCTAAGAGTCTCGCAAGGCCATGGGTCAAGGTTGAAAAAGTATGCCCAAGTGTGAGGGAACTCACAGCAAAATGTAAAGAACTAACAGAACTGTAACAGACAGATGTTCCAAAGGCCTGGTAGGTTGCATGGTGCTAGATACCATATTTCATTGGATCAGCCCAGAAAATTGGACCATTCATAGAAAAATTGGCAAGATTTTAAACTCAGTGTCTTTCCATCAAGTCTGATACAGAGTAACAAAAGGCTAAATTTGCAATATACAATTTTACTCTTAATAAAATCAAATTATAATTATATAAATTTATTATATACATCAGCCTCAATAGAATTGCAAGAGATAAATTTATTAGGACTTTTGCCATAGGAAGATATCATCAGGAAATTGCAATGGGCTATAAGAAAATACATTGATTATATATCTGATTTTCATATCCGCTAGAGTTGCAGATTTTAGTTGACGGGTTCACCTTTAGGAAGTATCTCAGTTCTTCTCTTAAAAAAGCAGTTTTAAAAATCTGAAGCAGAATGGTTGTTTACAATGGTAACTGTGTTTCTGCATTTCATTAGTTGGCTGTACAAATTTATTCTTGTGAGTACTGATTATTTTGTTTCAACAAAATTTCTTCTATTTCAAAATCTTCATAAGAACATTTAGGGAAAGGAAGAACATAGAGATTCTTCCACAATTCATCCACCTCAAGCTGTCTACAATAAAAACAAGCAGAGAAACTTAGATAGACCTATTGCAGCTGAAAACAGATTCTTCCTCAATAGTTATCAAAATTGATAGCATCACTGGAACAGTCCTCAAACCCCTCATTGCTCAGAGTATTCCTTTCTCTGGAAAAACAACAAATATTTTACAGCAATGGCAGAGCCTCCTTTCTTGCTGAAGGCATCACTGTAGGAATTACTAGACTGTAGACCAGGATCCCATTCATTCCGTGGCACCCTTATCAGTCGTCTTTGTTAAGGAGTAGTGGAATGCAGCACTGTTCTGGAAACCAGGAGTTCCCAATTCCTGTTCCAGGAGAGCTGAATCTAGTGTATTTGCAGACCTGGAGGCTTTGCCCATGCCAGCCTGATGCGTGCTGTTCCACTGCCCTTGGCAAGTCCAGCCAGCAGCAATGCTGAAGATAATCTCCAAAAGCTAGGTACATACAATTCACAAAATGCACAGAGGATGCTAACACAGCCAGCCACACAGACCAGCATGAGTGCCTTTGCCAATACTGCATAAAACCCCACAACACTCCACAAAACACAGACAGATCAGACTTGTTGTTCCTCTCTGGACTAAGGCTGACATGCACACACACTTGTTCTCTGATTGCGACACCCACAGAATTACAGGACCCTTAAATATGTACTCAGGCTCAACGTCCATCAGATCTCATGCCTGGGTCCTGATACCCTACCATAGTCCCTGGCTGTCACCTTTGGTCTTTCCAAACATGAACCTCTCTAATTAGTCCAGCCTAAAGTTCAGTAGTGAGTTGCACAACCCCCAGGCACAATGGACTGGGTGTCAGGAGGAGGGTACACAGCATGATCTCCTGTTGTTGGTCCCCAGACCTATAGACTAAAAGCCTGGGCTTCCTTGAGGACTTATGCAGCCCAAGCATAATCAGCTGTAAACCCTGCTCTGAGATTTCTCCATCTATCTCTGAAATAAAAATGGGCATTTCCCTTTGGCAGTAGTTGAAGGGATAGACTCTCTCAGAATAAAAGGAAAATTGTCAGGGTTAAGTTTGTATGTACTCTGCTGAGAACTATAACTTTTCACAAAGAAGCAAGGAATGACTATATTACCAACTGAATAGTTTTATGCTTATACTTGTCTCTATCTGTTTTTGTAGTCATATACCTTTATCTTAGTATAGTCTGGGTTGAGACTACATAGTCAGACCTGTGGTAAGAACTGTGCCTCTTTGGGATTATATAGGCTCAGAGAAAAGAATTGTTTATCTCCTTGCAATGCAAGATTATTTTTTTCTATGGGAGATATAGCACAGTTGGCCAAGATCTCATTATCTGTCTTTCCTCTTGCTCCCTACTATCCTCACATTTCATATCAGACTGCTTTTCTTTTCCTTCTCTGTGTTTTTGTCTGGTGAGACCAAGCTCTGAGATGGTGCTCATTGTTTGGACAAGAGTGTGAAAGCTTTTGGTAAATAAGATTAGAGGGGCTCTGTGGGAGTCAAGTATGTGCTTGAACAACCTGTATTATTTCGATGTCTCATTTTTAGATATGTTCTGTCTCATCAGTTCTGTAACAGAAGAGTGTACAGATGTATCAGCTTTTTAAAAATGAAAAGTATCAAAGGAAGTCCATGAATTTTCTTGCAGTATGCATTGTATATAAGAAAAACAACACCTATGAGAAAATTGTTATCAATATAGTGAAGCTGCATAATTTTGCTCAATGTACAGGAGAAATAATAGCATAAATTAACAATAAAAAACATTTTCATTATAATGGCTTTATGACAATGGATTATCAATATACAGGACCAAAATATTTTTCTCTATTCTTTTTTTTTTATCCCTCTTCAGGGACTTAAACCAAGGAACTCAAGTTAGAATCCAGCTTCTCCAGTCTGACTAAATAAGGGAGACTACAGAAACCTGTGAAAGGTGACTCATATTTAAGATCAGCACCTAAAAATGGCTATAAATTTGATCACATCTTTTTTTCAGCTTACTTTTTAAGTATACAAAGAAATGTTTTTTACCCATGCAAAGCACGTTAGAGTAGAGATATCAGCCATCATCGTGGCCAAATTTGTCAAGCTATTATGCTCTGTTAAAATATATAACAGAATAGAGGTTTCCTTTACACGATCTTTTCTATGATTGCACACTAGTTTTCCCTTTGCTTTTTCTTTTCCTTCATTGGATGTGTAGAATAGATCTTCTGCTGTGTTAAAAAGTCAGCATTTGGGATGAAGAAAGCTGTTGATTGCAGGATTCTTTCTTGTTCCTGAATTTAGAAAGAGCATACTGAGTGACTAATGTGATTGCAAGCAGAGAGAAAAGGTCTCATTAGTCAAAGTAAACAAATGATTCTATGGAAAATTCCTGTGTCAAGTCAGTTAATCTATCTCTTCACAGATGGTCACTATTATGTATTTCTTATTTTTTGAATACTCAGCTTGATGATCTGATAGCTTTGATAGACTTGCTACTCAGTCACAGTAATAAACAGCAGTGAGTGGGAGCTAAGTTTTGGGCATAAGAAGTGCCATTCAGTGATAAGCATTCTGCAAATAGCAGGTACAAGAAACCTCACATTAGGTACCTGGTCTTGCAGAACATTTTCACTCTTATCTTACCTGTCCTTGTCTTTCAGTGTTAAAATGGAACTGCTTTGACTGAAGAGTTAGGGTAATACACTAAAAAAGATTTACATTCTTAAATCCAGTAGTGATATATGCTGAAGAAAAATCCAGAGGCAAATTTTGATTAAGGAACCATAGAATAAGGGATGGAAACATATGCTGATTATAGAGGGAGGAAAATAAAGACATGCTGCTCTAATTATAGTATATGATCTTGTTATTGCAACTTTTTTCACAGAGCACAAGCATCCCTACAAAGGCATTACCTAGCTTTGATTTTCTTAGCTCAGTGGTTCTAAAATCTAAGTATGAGGGGCTGACTTCAGTATACAACTCATTTTGGAGTTCTGAGAGAGGTAATTTTCTAAAACTTACTTTACATAAAATGCTACTTAAATTTCTACATATTTTGGTTTGAGGAGCCAGCATATCTTACTAGTTTCTGAGTAATGACTGTTTCTTGAAAACCAAGACTTATCCTAAAGAGCCTAAACATGAATTTTGCATCTTAACTTCAAGATCCTGTTATATGAGATCTTGACAACTGTACATTGTTTTAGTTAGAATCATAGAATCATAGAATCATAGAATCGATTGGGTTGGAAAAGACCTCCGAGATCATCGAGTCCAACCCTTGGTCCAAATCCAGTCCATTTACTAGATCATGGCACTCAGTGCCACGTCCAATCTGCGTTTAAGAATCTCCAGGGATGGTGAATCCACCACCTCTCTGGGTAGCCCATTCCAATGCCTGATTACTCTCTCTGTAAAGAATTTTCTCCTGATATCCAACTTAAATCTCCCCTGGCGGAGCTTAAGCCCGTGCCCCCTTGTCCTATTGCTGAGTGCCCGAGAGAAGAGACCAACCCCCACCTGGCTAGAACTTCCCTTCAGGTAGTTATAGACGGTGATGAGGTCACCTCTGAGCCTCCTCTTCTCCAGGCTAAACACCCCCAGCTCCCTCAGCCTCTCCCCATAGGACTTATGCTCCAGTCCCTTCACCAGCCTTGTTGCTCTTCTCTGGACCCGCTCCAGCACCTCAATATCCTTTCTGTTTAAGACCAGTTGGAAATAAAGTTTAAGACCAGTTGGAAATAAAGCACTACACAGTTGCTCGCTCAACCCCCTTCTCCTTCCCTAAACCAGTAGAATGGGGAGGAGAACCAAAGTAAAACTTGAAGGTTGAGATAAGAACACTTTAATAATCAAAAATAAAGTATTAATTGTAAAGGATATTAATAAATATAAAAACAAGGGAAAAAACAAATGATGCACAATACAATTGCTCATTACCCACTGACCAATGCCAGACCTGCCTTGCAAACCCAGATTGGCCACCCTTCTGGGTAACTCCCCCAAGTTTATATACTGGGCATAATGTTCTATGGAATATCCCTTTGGTCAGTTCTGGTCACCTGTCCTGGCTATGTTGTCCCCCAATTTCCTTTGTGTACCCCCTCACTGGTAGAGCAAGAGACAAGAAGAAAGTCCTTGATTTAGGATAAACATAACTTAGCAAAAAACCAAAACATCAGTGTGTTATCAACACCATTTCATTCTGAATCCAAAACACAGCACTGTACCAGATATTGAGAAGAAATTAACTCTACCCTAGCTGAAACAAGGACATACATAAAGATGCAAACCCCAAAATGCAGGCATACATACAAGCATACTAAAAATGTACAAACATCATACAAAAATACATTTGAATGGTGACACCCAGACAAAGTATTCTCACATTTTCTTTCAAAATGTCACATCTATGTTTGCATCTCAATTTTGCAATAACTTTCTGCAAATATTTGAGCACTAATTACATCTTGAACTCAAGGTACAAATTTCATTAATCTGAGTAACATGGATTTTCTTCTCACCGTACCCAAGTTCTGAAGTCACTCAAAGTCTTTAGCAGAAGTAGAAGTTAAGAATAAGAAATTGGCTGGATGACCACATCGAAGAGTTTCAATCAGTGGCTCAGTGTCCAAACAGAGATCAGTAAGAAGTGATGTCCCTCAGGGAGAAGTATTGGAATTGATGTTCATCCATGTTTTTATTAATGACATTGAGAGTGGAATGGAGTGCACCCTCAGGAAGTTTGCAGATGGCACCATGCTGAGTGGTGCAGTTGATACACATGAAGGATGGGATATCATCCAGAGAGACCTTGAAAGGCTGGAGGAGTGGGCCCATGTAAATGTCATGAAGTTCAGTAAGACCAAGTGCAAAGATCTACACCCTGATGGGGCAATCCCCAATATCAATACAGGTTGGGAGGTGTATGGACCGAGAGCAGCCCTACAGGGAACAACTTGGGGTACTGGTGGATGAAAACTTGGACATGAGACAGCAACGTGTACTCACAGCCCAGAAATCCAACTGCATCTGGGGCATCATCAAAAGCAGGTCCAGGGAAGTGATTCTGCCCCTCTCCTCAGCTCTTGTGGAGTACTGTGTCCATGTCTGGGTCCTCGGTACTGGAAAGATGCGGATCTGTTAAAAGGGGTCCAGAAGAGGGCCATAGATCAATATGCCTATGAAGAAAGGCTGAGAGCAGGACTTGTTTAGTCTGGAAAAGAGAAGACTCCAGGGAGATCTAACTGAGGCCTTTGAATTCTTAAAGATGGCTTATAAGGAAGATGGCATAGTCTTTTTAGCAGGATCTCCAGTGATAGGACAAGGAGCAAGGGTCTTAATTTGAAAGAGGATAGGTTTAAATTGGATATAAGGAAAAATCTTTTTGTGATGAGGGTGATGAGATGTTGGGTCAGGTCGCCCAGAGAAGTTGTATATGCTTCCTCCATGGAAGTGTTCAAGGCCAGGTTGGGTGAGGCCTTCTAACAATCTGATCCGAAGATCCCTTTCTAACCAAACCATTCTATGATTCTTGATTCTATTTTTCTGATTTCATGAAATAGACTTAGTATGACATTTTAAATAGTAGGACATCTAGGACACAAAAAAGGACCCTGAGTTTCAGAGTGGTGTCAATTATTGTGATGTTGAAACATAGAGTAGCAATTATACTGTGAAGTGTCTTAACAAAACGTATAAAATGCACATTAGGTCTTTCCTGACAGAATAAGGGCGAAAAAATAAAGGAGGGAGTGAGACATTTAACCATAACCATTGCCACTGTTTATTTACAGAGTCTTCCTAGTAAATGCTTTTATGACTCTCAGGTTTACTTATGCAAAGTTTGTATAACAGGTTTATAATTATGAGAATTATCCTCCCTGGTGTGGTTTCCCATTAGGCATTTTAGACCCTGAAAATTATGCATATGTCTATTTTCACTTGAGGACTGTCATCACCACATATTTTTTACAGAGCTGGTCAGCAGGAGTTACCTACACCCATTAAGCATTCTTCATTCTGGGTCTGCTGCCAACAAAGATCATTAACTGAACAATGTATTTAATCTCATAAACATTTTTTGTGCTCACAATTTGCTAATGTTAAATTTCTAGAGACTGTAGAATTGCCATAATTTCTCCTGGGTTAAGCAAGTCCTGTTGTATTATCTTTAATTCTGAAAGTCTGTACAGATGAGTGATAAAAGTCTGAGGCTATAAACCGGAACCTTTGAATTTCCCTTGACAGATAAATGCCCTAATTGTTGATCTAGTCAATCTTGCACATGCTCTTGATCTCTGACACATTCAATGTTTTTTGCTGTCTTGGAGAGTGGAATGGCTTCAAAGGAAAGATGGAGAATTAAGAACATCCTTTCACTCTGAATGGACTCCAGCTTGTGATTTTTACTACTATCCCATGGAAGGAAAACTAAGATCTGGGTAAAGGAGGGAAATGTACATGTTTTTTCCTGTATTCAAATGCAGTGCTTTAGACTTAGAGGTGTAGGAGGTTCCCAGACTTCATCTGTCTCCATTTTCTTTCCTAAGAAAACTTTTGGGAAATTCCAGGCTATAAACCCTGAGTGTAAAGGATGCTTTGTGTGGATCAATAACACATTGAGATGCAAGGGAGGGGCATTTATCCAGCAGCATTTTCATTTAGTTACCTTAACAGGCTCTAATTCACCTAACCGGTATTAATTTTTATGACAGCAACTAGAGATAGCTAGGAATAAAAGCTAAAGATTGAGCTTAAAAGTTAGACATCCTTGAACACTGACAGAATTTTATTAGTTTTTAATTTGGGGTTGGATCTGTCCTAATTGGGAGACATTCACTTAAATGCGATTATATGAGCATGCCAGGTTTGTGTTTCAGTTTTGATTTACGGATGAGATTTTCAAAGTTGTCAGATTTGGTTTGGCAACTAGCCAAAAGCATGCAGTTTGGGGGCCTAGGTTGCTTCAAAAACATCTCATCTTACCTCAATGCAGTTTACTCTGTGGAAATTTTGGTCGTATTTCTGTCAAGATGATGTTGGCTATTGACTTCAATTAAGCTTGTTCTTCCATCTGGACAATTTTTCCTGTAAGATAATCAACCATGACAACTGAGCAGAGGAGAGCTTTGGAGTATTCTCCTAATTATATTTCACATGTTTATTTTGTAATAAGCATGGTTCTGGCTGATATTTTAAAGAAGAATACAATGAGACTTTGAAGCTGCTAAAATTTCTTCTGTTTCAATGCACTTAACAAACGTAGACTGTCTTATGAAGGCAAAAGTTCTACAGAGAACATGGTACATATGATGGGAAGACATATTTAAGGAGTTATATGCACACAGGGGAAGCTATTTAGATAAATTGAGAAAGTGTAGAGAGCTGAGATATTTTTAATAAATGATGATTTAAAGTGTTTTAAGTAGATGGTCAGGTAGTCTTATGACCTTAAAACTAGGATTAAAATAAGATACAATTTACCAGCGTAATTGACAGGTAGAGATGTTAGCAGCTCTAAATCCTAGTTTTTATTTTAGCTCCTGTTTATAATACAGTCAAAATTTGCAGTTCAAGACAAAAATTTCCATGAAAATTACTGACAAGTAACTTTCCAATAAATATTGGATTTTTAAAAAAACTCTCAACAAAAACTACCTGACGCATAAATCTGAGCACAGATTTATAATGACATAAAATTTTATTAGCCAAGCTAGCTCTTTCCAGTCTCAAGAATCTTACCTCTTTCTCAATATATTTTTCCCAGATTGTCATGTTTTATTTAACTAAATAGTACTTTGACAAGGTAAAGCAATGCATTCTATCACTCAAAATTTTCCTGTTATGTATTCCTAGCTCTTTCACAGTTTGTTTGAGCTTTTCAATGGTTGACTCATGTAATGACTACAACAGAAGAAAATACTATGACTTTTAAGTGAGAACCATCCTCAAAGAAATGTTTCTTCTAGGTCAGTTTCATCCAGGTCACTGTAAAAGGCTGTATTTCAACAGGACAAATTTATAACTGAGAGTTTAATTAGAACCAGGTTTTGACTTTCATATGCTTTTCAATCTCGCTCCTTTATTCCAAGAACAAAAACTTATCTAACAAGGTTTTTCCTTCCTTGAACAGCACACTCACACTTTGAAAATTAATCCACATCATACTTGTAGTGAGCGGTGAAGTATGAAACATACACATCTAAGGGAGTTATTCTGGAGCTGTATGTGGAGATCTTTTCCACATGGAATATTATGGACACCTTGGTCAGGAGAAAGCTTATTCTGCCTGGAGTCTGTTCCCTCTGCAGAGTGTAGACATGTATGAGGCCCCTTTTTCAGGGCATTTTACTAGAATAGGACAAACTTTTGTCTTACATGCATATATATGCCTTCGTACTACACATTTTTTACCTTTCTTTTTTGACTGATCTCAGCTGTCTTGGATTTTTTTAACCTTTTAACTTAATTAATAGCATGTAAAATATTTTTTCTTCTGCAGGAAGTGAAACAATTGCAGTGATTGATCAAGTTCTTTGACCCAGGCTTCTTTCAGCTTTTAGCAAGATCTCTAGGTAACTGCTCAAGCTGGCAAGTAGCATAAAATTTGCTTACAAATGTCCATGTATACTTATGTAATAAAAATTATCATATGTGTTAAATATTCTTAAACTTTTTTTTATCTTCTGAAACATCTTACTTTTTTATCTCCTATAAACCTTTTGGTTCCCCTTCAATCTAATTTTTAGTAATATTTGAATATTCCTTTTTTAAAATTATCATTAAGATAAATTTGCCCTATTTCTTACTTAACAAACAAAATGTAAAAATTAATACTTCTAGATATTTAATAACTCTTATAAGTTATATATCTAGGTATAAAATATTTTTACATGAAAATCAAGGAACAGCTAATATTTCTCCATATTTGTCAGAGACAAATTGATTATATTGATTACTTTGCCAGAATATGTCTCTTCTCAGGTTAGTTTTTACCTTTTTTAGGGCAACAATTGAAATATTGACATAGTGCAATGCAAGAAAATTACTACTTTTTCTCAGTTTATGAGTAACTATTAATAGTAATTCTAATAATGTTTATTTAATTTTCCCCAAATATTATTAACTCTTTTTCTTTATAATAAGTGTTTAAAATTTTCAAACTGTATAAAAAATGAATTAATAAAACATGTTTGTGTTCTGAACCAGAGTGTAATGAGTAAATAACATTCAAGAAGAGTATATTGTGTAGACCTGGTAGCTGCGATCTATTATGAAAATAAAACTTCCAGGCTTCCTGTGCTTTCTCCAACAAGAATTCGAAAGAGAAACCAAAAAAAAGAGAGTGTCGAGTCTGTTCATGACTGAAGAAGAAAGATAAGGGGAGAAATAGGTAATCCTGAAGTGTCAGTTTTATATGCTTTGATTTGTATTATGACTGACAGATATTGATATCTCAAGAAAAAAAGTCACCCTGCCATGAAATGGTGGAAAATTTCTAATTACAATTTTGTGGAGGAATCTAGTCCGCCAAACATGTCTAAACATACATGGGATAAGTGGTCATTTACCTTCAGGAATAGCCTTTGGCACTGAGGTTCAGTGGTGAGAATTTAAAAATAAATCAAGAATCTTGTCTACATGTGTTTCATTTGGTAAAAACAGAATCTTAGATGTGGTAGCAAACTGTATTTTGTATTCAGAAGGATTCCACGTTTGCTCAGACGCAAAACAAAAATCTGTTTTTGTCTCACTGGGCTACTTGGCATGGTTAGCATGCAGGAGCAGAACAAGCAACAACTAGAGGAACAACACGACTGGAGTACATGTGAGAAACTATGAGCAGAAGTAACTCATACCATAAGAGCAGTCTGACTCAAACTGGGCTTCGCTACCCAGAAAAACTCGACAATCTTAAACTTTGAGTGAAGTTTTATGCATTCATAATGATGTGAGGAATTAAGTAGTCTTATCCTGTTTATTTATCTTATTGAATTTTTCTCCTGCTAATGAAAATATTAGTTTTTAAGCTGAAAAAGGCAAAAAGCTGTTCATTGAATGCTGGGAAATTTAGGTTAATGGTTCTGGATTTCTGACTTCAAACTTCAGCTAGTCTCTTAGTAGTAACACCTTCAAATTTGAACCTGGTTTTTATTGTTGCTAGTCATAACCTTGGGAAAATTTTGATTTCTCAGTAGAGTCTTTCTGGGACATATACCCAACTATCATAACACTAAATAATATTATTCGTATCTCTTTTGTCCCCTGACATCCTACTCAACACTTGGCAGAAATCTGTCTTCTAAAAGCGAGTGTCAGCTACAAAATTCATATTCTCAGATAACTAATTGAAGTACCTACACTTGAAGCCCAGTCAAAACTGGTTTCTCTTTGTATCCAAAGTAGATAGCTGGGCATCTTCACACACAATTTCATTTAATAGAAATTTACTGTTCACTGTCTGTACAACAGACCCAAAAAGAAGTGATAGAGGTGGTCTTCTGAGAGGTGTAACCACAGCAGATTGCAGTGGTTCCTATCAGATCCATGGAATTAAAATCCACCAGTATTAAGAAATATATAGACAATCACAAGTATAGATGAAAATAAGTGATTATTGGTCAAGTGTTGCGGAGGAAAAATACATATATTATTCCCCTGTTCTTACACTTTTCCCTCAACCTCAGCTTTTGACCATTGTCAAGGATAGAACACTGGGTGGAAGGGACTGTGATGTGACCACACACCCATATTCTTTAGTCTCAGGAAGACATGGAACATTTGGGACCTTTTGAAAAGGATCTGCATTGGAGACTTTTTGATGGAGAATCACCACCAGAGAATTATGGTATCAGGCACAGATTCCTGTATGAGAAGTTTCTCTTCCAGGATCAAAGCCTAGTTTTACAATTATGCTGATGAAGGTATGATTTATACCCCCTATACTTCAAATTACCTTCCTTTACTGCTTTTACTTCCTTCAAGGCACTCAGAACTTAAATAGATCTTGTCAGCCTACCATCTGCTTCCAGTGGCAGCCAAGGGGCAGAAACATTTATAACAACAGCAGTGAGGCTCAAAAGTGACATATCTTTCATATGTATTCACCACTTATTAGAAAAAGAGGCCTAAATGACAAAAAGAAATATTTTTGTTCTGAAAAATAGTAGCTACTCTCCTCATCTGAGTTCATTGAGACAAGAATAGGAAATATTTAAGGTACCTTTGTGCACTGAACAAGTGGGCTAGTGAAAGAATTTTGGAAAGCTTTGAGGTCACTTAGTGCATGTTTTTATTTTCTTTTTCTATGTGTAAAATGTTGATGTGAAATGCTATCCAGAAGACAAAGTGAGGTTAACATTAGGAGGGATAAACAAACCTGTAGCCAAGGCAAGTTTAGATTGAAATGCAAGTCATATGATAACACTGAGACTTAAGAAATGTATCTTGGAGTTGGAATTTCAATTCTTCAGTAAGACCTGAAGTTCTAGAAAATAAATATATGTTCCACATAGACATTTAAAATCAACTATATTCAGTGGAGATTTACACAGAAAGCAAGCTCCTTCCCCCAAAATTTCTGGTTCTCTAGGAAGTTGTGTCCTATAAACTGTAGTGAAACAAAGACTGACATAGTGTTTAGAAGCTGAAGTTCATATGTTCTACATTTCATCTTAAAGAATGCACTGAACTTCATAGTAATAACTAAGTTTGCAATATTGCGTGGGAAATCCTGGACAACAGTGTTCTTCCTATTATGTGTGGGAAATTTTTGTCTGTGCATCATGATATCTATCCCGCTGTTTTTCTATGTCTTGGTTAACAGGGACTACTTATTGTTTCATCTTAGACCAGCCATAATGAAATAAGAAGTATTTAAAAGAAAAAAAAATACAGGCAGGCTAAATTCCTTGTATGGCAAGGATATCTGTAAAAAAAGCACCCTAAAGCATAAACCTTTATTTTTCTCTGCAAAACAAGCAGTCATCTTTGCTTGTCTCATATCAGTTGGTACTGGTACCCAAAAAGCAGAGAATTTAACTTACAGAATATGTAGCTCTTACCATCAAGAAATGACTACAGA